CTAAGGGAAACTCACGCCTCAGCAAAAACAAATTCCGTTCCTTGATTAAAATTCGACGTCCATTCTGGTCCAGACAATCAAGTTTTCTCCAGAAATGGCTGCAGCCATGCTCTCCGTCCGGCCAAACCGCCCGACCCCCACTTCACCCATCACCATCCCGCCCGTCCACCTTCCAAACCAACCCCACGCCGCCGTAAAACCCTCCAAAAGAGACCCGTGGAGGGGCGCAATTCTGTCCTACCGGCGAACCTTGGCCGGACCCAGAAGAGCGGGGTCGCGAGCTGATGATTCGGCACCGTTCGAGATGTCAGTGGAGAACGCTCTTAAGCTTCTCGGAGTCTCTGAAGGAGCATCTTTTGATGATATTCTTCGCGCCAAGAAATCCATCATTGCATCTTGTAAGGATGACGAGAAAGCCGTTGCACAGGTTACTCATCGTCCTCTCTCTCTTTCCTTTTTTGGGTTGAAAACACACTTGGATTTCACCGAGCTTTTGGGTTTTCGGTAATGAACTTCGAATTGTAATAATTGGACAAATGTGAAGAATTTGCTTCTAACGATTACTCAAACTAGCTCTTTTTTGGTCGAATTTAGACGTCTTTTTGGTATTTTAGGCGAAAATTGCCTGAATATACTGTACTTAGGGAGTTAGTTTAAGCTTATAAATGTAGAGCTGTTTTCTGGGATGCTTGTGAATAATGAAGTTTAGCTTGTAATAGTGTTAAAGGAATCAGCTTATAAATGTAGAGCTGGTTTGTGGGATGCTCGTGAATAATGAAGTTTAGCTTGTACTAGTGTTAAAGGAATCAACTTTTAGCACTAGGCTATCTCTTCTCTCTTAGATAAACAGGGTCTTAGTGACTAAAGGTTCAAAAGAAATTATGAAAATTCAGTTAACATGAAATTTGATGATAGATTTTTTGTTTTCTGATGGTTTCATGATACTTTTTGTAAGGTTGAGGCAGCATATGACATGTTGCTTATGCGGAGTTTAACTCAACGCCGAGCAGGAAAGGTTGTAGACAGAAATGTCAGATATGCAGATGTTAAACCTGTTAGTGCTCCTGGGATGAGATCAGTGACTCGGTGGGCACAGACTACATTAAAAAACTCACCCATTTCAATTGAAGCACCAGCAATTAGTGATTTGGGCTTACAAGCAGGAGCATATGGAGCTCTGATGGTTTTGACTTATGCAAATGGAGTTTCTACGTCTCCTGGAATGCCTTATGCAGGGCCTGATGTTCCTGGGCTGATCATAGCGGGCAGCTTTGGAGCCTCCTTGTACTTCATGACCAGAAAAAATGTGAAGCTAGGTAAGGAGTTTTATGGTGTATGTTGTTATCTTTTAACTGTTCTTGGTGAGTTTATTTATTCCTTTGAAGAGATTTGTGCTGAAAAGAAATTTCAAGATTCTGGGGTTTATACATTGAAATACTATTTAACCTTATCAGGTATTTGATAGTGAAATGCACTACTTTTAGTACAAACATTGTGATTGTTTGAAGTGAACCTGTTTAATGCCTAGTGAAATTAGCATTCCTAATAAGTGTTTTTGTTAAATTTTAGCTGTTTATGTAGGACTCATAACATATGCTAGAACTGGTAAAAAGAGACATGTTGGAACTGGTTTGAATTCTCTCACATGAATAGGGAGGATTCCAACCATGATACTGTAGTTAGTCATTCGGCAGCCAGCTTAGACTTTGTGTTTCTTTGCCTCATAGTAGGATCTATCAGATAGTATGGTTTATTTTATTCACTTCAATGTTAGAAGTCCTGATTCTAGTCACATGACATGCTTGGAGGTTGGGATGACATTGAGTTACGTCCCATTGAAGAAAGAGGAGGAGGATTTTATATGACAAAGCAAGCCAAGACTTAGACTGCCATTTTCATAACCACCAATTTCATTTTAAACTCAACTTAGGCCACCATATCTGAAGTTACTTGTCATTCTTCAGGAAAGGCTACCGTGATAACCATAGGGGGCCTCGTTGCAGGAGCAGTGGTGGGATCAGCTGTTGAAAACTGGTTTCAGGTAGACATTGTCCCATTTCTGGGCATACATTCTCCTGCTGCTGTAATTACCGAATTTATACTATTCTCTCAATTCTTAGTCTCATTGTATCTAAGGTAGGGTGAGAGATACTGTATTTCAAATCTAAATTTGTAAAAAGGCCTGTGATTGTTCATCGGCATGACCATACCCAAGCTTTTTTGGGATGTGTATCATTGCATATTGTACAAAACTTGAAATAAAACCTAGTGTTTTTGGTTTGTTTGATTGATGCCAGTCATTATTATTACTAGGAATCAGTTGATGGGAAGTTGTCTGTAAAATGAAAGGTCCATTTTTACTCACTTTTAGAAATTTGTTTTTACTTCCCAGCATACAAACCTGCATTAAACAAATAGCAATTTAATCTTACAAAAACCACACTAAAACCCGAATAAATTTGTCTCAGCAAGTTGCTTCGACATTTGGTAATATACAAGTAGACTGTATAGTCCTTAAATCCTAGACCCTTAAATCCTCTCATCAAGTTTCTGGTGTCATCTGTTGCCATTTTCTTCAACCGGTGAGCTCTCTATGTATGATAGGTTCCCCTCCCTCTCAGTATTCTCACTTTGAGTGACAATGTCATTGTACATCTTTAGAGAGGCCTTAGAGAACTCTGTTAAGGACTCGAAAACAGAAGAAAATCCTGTTTGAAATCCATTCAATGTGATTCTCTGTGTTTCCTGCACGTAATTGTGGTGTTTTTCCTTCTCCACATCAAGCCTCCTTCTGAACATGTCCAAATGATCCTTCTTCTCTGTCAATGATTCATTCTGGTTCTCCATCTCTGTCTCAGACTTATATTCAATGAGCTTGGACTCAAGAAACCTTTTCTCCGACTTCTGGAATGCAAGAGTCCTTCTGTCAAGTTCCTTTGCCATACTGTCGACTTTCCTCTTTTGTTGCTGTTCCTCCCCTTGCTGAGCCCACAGAGCCGTAACATCCTTAGAAAAGCTTCTTAATGCAAGGGTTACTGCTTTGTCCGGTAAATTCTCCACGGAAGATAACCAATTGTAGCAGATTACTAGCAATGGTGGACCGTTAACTCCAAATGGTATGGCTGATCTCCTCTTTCTGGAATGAAATTCAACTTCTGGGACTATGAACTTGGTTAGCCAACCATGGAGAGCTTTGACATATGCCCTTTGAGCTGCAACATACTCAGTAAAGCAACAACGCCAATTTTGAAGCTCAGCCTCTAGCTGAAGTGTTGCAAGACGGTGAGAATCATTGCAGAATTTCCCAAATGCTGGACAATCAAAAGATTTGACTTCAAAGAGAATTTTGTTCTGTGTTTCATGCGATTCCAGCATAACTTTCCAGGTTCTCATTAGGCTGCAATAGGAAAGGCAGAATGAATATAAATCCAGGGGAATAGAATGAAAATGAAGAAGCAGTAATCAGTAATCTGCATCTTTTCCAATGATTTTCACCTACCCTTTCAACAGCTCAACAATTTGCGGTTGCAGTTCTTCATCTCTTAGTTTCTCGATTCTCTTCGAGATAGACTCAGCACTTCTAATTGCAACCAAGATCCTGGCATATAAATCTTTCACTTCAGCTCTAGTTTTGTCCATTGTTAGTTCATCATATCCTTTGACATCCTGGTTCCCCAGCCGCGAACACTTCCTCTCGTAGACTTTACGAATGCTGTCTCCAGTCTAATACGGAGCAACATGTCAGATTCCAAACCGAAACAGATCAGTAAAGGAACAAGACTAGGCAGCGAGAGGGAATTTTGGGGTTGTGTGAATTTTTTACTTAACATTACAAGTTACAATGGCATTTTCTAAAACCTGAACCAAAGGTACTGTTATTTACCTTAACCTCTTCATAAAGCTTCTTCTCCCAAGCATACAACCTTCCTAGAGTTAATGAATGACTTCCTGACTCCATTCCTCCATAATCATCAAAAAGATCATTCCTGAATTCTGTCCATGTTGAACTTTTTGAACTGGATGCCACAAGACTCTTACATGCTGGAGGCTTGGATGAAGTGGACCGGTGCCATGCAATAGCCTGGATGACCTTGGTTGAGTTTACTGCAATTGCAGCATCAAAAACACAGGAGATTACACTTGCTTGTTTCAAAATAGAGAAAGCACAACAAAGTTTTTAGACCCCACATGGGCAAAAGCAGAGTAAAAAGATTTACAAAAGTTTCCAGCTTTCTTATGGAATGCAAGGAAGGTTATAGAGATTGCTAAGATAGCTTCTTACTGTTGAAAAGTGGACTCATGCAGGAAGTAGATTTGGAAATTGATGCTGAAAATAAGATTCAAATTAGAAATAAATACCCACCTCTGATTTCCTCTAACCCAGATTGGAATTGAACCATATTAGCTTCCAGCATTCTTGTTACATCCTTGCCAGAATCATAAGCCCTAACAAAATGGTCTTCAATATCCTTCAGTGCTTCCAAAAGTTCCCTTCCTTTTTCTGGGCTTTCCATGACTGAAAGCCCCTTGTGCTCCCCTTGGCTCAAATTATCGCTATCCACTACCTTCACCATACCCACCTCACACTCTTCATGCTCCTCATCACCATGTTCTTGAGCAAAGACCACCTTTTTCTCCTCTTCTTCTTTGCCATCTCCTTCCTCCTCTAGCTCTGGAATCCCTTCCTGTTCTCTAACCACCCTCAAATCATCATCAGAAGTTCTATTGTACCCACTGATGACTTCAGGTCTCATACCATCAAAAGGGTTGAAGAAATCCCAGCCAAAATCTCTCTGTGGTGATGGCATTGGTGGTGGCATTTGCATATAAAAGTACCCACAAGGCTGTTGTTCTTCTCTAACTACTTCTTCTTCTTTGCTTTCCTGCTCTGAAGAATCTGAGGATGTTGAAGAACCACAAGACTCACAAGCAATGGCTTCGTGGGTCGACTCAGATGGCCTCTGCTGAAGGAACATCGGGTTGTTTATCACAGTTTGGTCTGTGGGTGGAGGTGAAGGACAGGGTGGAGGGAAAGTGATGAGAAATGGTGAAGATGGTGAGGAATGGCGAGCAACAAATAGTTTAATGGAAGCTGCTACTGCATACAAAGCTTGACAATACCTGCAATGTGCCTCTGCAAGTGCATATCTTCTATCTACAACTAGCTTTATCAGGCGTTTTCTTTCTCTGCAAATAGACACAACTTCTTCTTCCTCCTCTAGTTTAGAAGCCACACACCCCATCTCTTGCTAAAGCTGGAGAGTTTTTTGGGCTTCAGTAGGCGTGGAGGCAACTTTAGAAGAAACGGGTTGGAAGGTAAAGTTAGAAAGGTGGTTTTTTGGAGGAATCTGGGCACTCTTTTTTTGAGAAAAAGGAAGTGGGTTCTTCCAAGATGACTAAAAATGTTAGATTTTAGAAAGGTGTAAGAGAAGAAAAAGAGCAAAACCATAACCTTCTGGGTAATTTTAGAGGCGAATGCTTCATCTTTTGACATGGAAAGTTGGTTTTTGGGTTTCCCATTTCATTTCTTGGCTAAAGAACACACGGGTACGCCATATTTCTCTAAAGGGTGTTCTCTCTTTCTTCTTTCCTTCCCTTTCTTCCTTCCTTCCTTCCTTCCTTCCTTCCTTCCTTCCTTTTCTTTTGTGCCAGAAATAGAGGAAATGTTTTAATGGTGATTTCTCTCCTAAACCATTGATTATCTTGAGATTAGTAGTTGAGGGGAGAAAACAGAGGGAAACAGAGCAAAAGACAGAGTAAAGGCTTGGTGGTCAGTAAAGAGAAGGTTGGGGCTCGAGAAAGAGAGAGAAGAGAGAGCATTCTCGTGTTTGGTATTTTTGTTGTACTCTCCTCCATATCTTTCTTTCTTTTGTGCTTCCAAAAGAAAATCAGAAACAAAACCGAAAAATGGGTCTGCTAAGTTTTGCACAGATAATAGAAGCAGCAGCAGCAGACATATGGGCATTGGGCAGACAAGTGAGTAAAAAGAGGAGTCAAACCTACTGTAGTTATTTAGTCCCAGTAAATAAACAGATGGTGACCATACCACTGCAAAACCCAGAGAGAGAGAGAGAGAGAGAGAAAGACAGAGAAAGAGGAAGGCTTTGTCTTGTCCTGGGAGGAATCCTGTGTGTTCTTTAATCTCAGTCAATGCCTTTTAATAATGGGAGTATAATTGTGTTACTAAACATATGTTTAGTTTTGTTGAGGAGAAGATTGAGAGGGGGATTTAGGGAAACTCTTGTCATAAGTGGCATCGTCTTTAGTGCTGTGGACAAATCTATTACCAAAATGATTTACCAATTCAATTCTTTCTCTTTTTATGATAAACTCTTTTTGTTTACAATTACTTATAAATTAATATTTATTTATTTATTTAATATAATGTTGAGTATTATACAAAAAAAAAAAAATTGTAGTCTTATTATTGCTAAATCTATTGGCTGTATTTCTATTACTTTTGGTATATGCAAGTCTATTATCTAACCCTTTGGAGATGCCCCCTTTCTCCCTCCATGTCTAGCACTTAGATATGGGCATTTTCACAAGATTTTGCTAGGGGTTTAGAGGGTTTTTTCTTTGGAAAAGAAAGGAAAGGTTCTTGTTTGATCCATAAATGAACCATGTAGTAAGTACTGCTACTATAACTGAGCACTGACCATTCCACATGAATAAATTGCAGGTTATTATTAGCCTCAGCATTATTTCTGCACATCTGCACCTCCCATCTACTTTCTTCTCCTCTTTTTCCATTAAGAGAATGGCTTCTTAAAAGCTAATAAAACTCTTCTGATTGCAATTGTCAAATGGATAAATTTAATGCATGGACAACCTTTTTCCTTGTTAGTGTTTGAGAAGGGGTACAGAAAATAGTGCACAAAAATGCAACGAGGATCTAGGAAGCCTCAAAGTCAGTAGAGTTTCAACTGTTTAAAGAATCCATTACCAAAACCAAAAACAACTGTTCAAAGAATCAAATCTTAAAGTCCCCATTTTAAAGTCAAAATGGACATGGTAATATCCCAATTGACAACACCAAACACTATTTCTAACTACCTTGCGTGCCCGTGGCTGCCATGTTTCCACTTCATTCTTTTCTTTTTTTCCTCTTTTTTGCTAAGGAGCTAGTACAGTTTCTATGTTCCTTCCTCTTAAAATGCCTTGATTAGGGTTCTAACTTATAAACTGCAATCACATATCATCAGCCAAGTAATACTTCCTAAGGGATTTCAACAAAATTAACTAGAACTTAGTCTAGTTTGGCTATAGAACTAGAGCCAAATTTGGTTAACTTACTACTTTTCAAAACTTTAATTTTAGGATACATGTTAGCGGATTCAAATTTTTACAGTACCTAAACAAATAAATAACATAGAACTTTGGGTTGAGGAAGAGAAGTTCCGTAATGGTATTCCTGCCTTGTTATTAGATGCAGGATCCTGGAGAACAATTACCAGCATTTAGGAAATTGTCTTGAAATAGTTTTTTTTAATTTATACCTTATAATATATATTAGAGTATAATTCATATATATTTTTATATTAATTTTTATTTAATTAATTATTTAATTAAAATGAAATACATAACATTAATGAAATTAAAATTAATTTTTATATTTTTAATATAATTTAATTTTTTTTTAAAAGTATCATTAACTACATCTTTAGGGTACATATGTTAAAAAATTCCTTAAACAAAAGATAAGCAGGGGATTTTGTGGGTAAGCGAGAATATGCCCTGACATTGTCTGACAAATATGACCAGAAAGAACCTCTCTCTCACCTTGGAATTCCCTTCTTCCACCTTTCCCAATAAACCAGATTTTGATCCTTTCAATAAACATGCTAACCATTCTTCTATTTGAATTATTATGAATAATAAATACTCCACCTGCATGGAGATGGAGGAGTGAAATGGCCCCATAATGAGCAGCTGTTTCTTCTTTCAAGCCCATTTGGGCCATTTCTCCTGTTTTTCCTCCCTGAAATTCTTACAGCTTTTGCCTTTTCTTCGTTTGAGCAGGCCAGCAGCAAAAGTAGGAATGGAATGAATGATAAAAGTAACAAAAACAGGATTTTAAATCTGCAGATTGTATAACTAAGAAAGACAAAGAGGCAATGACACAAAGGCCCCGCTGTATTGGAAAGGATGAAAAGTGAAATAACTATAATAATTGTCACCTTATACTCTTCTCTAAACGCGATTATCAGTCCCCAGCTAAGTTACAGTGTACTAAAGAATCAAAGGCTTGCCTCTCTTTATCGCTTTTGAAAGCTACAGCGTATTCACATTGATAAGGGAATAGAACAACAAAAACAACATGGGATACAGCTTCTTCAGGCATTGACGGCTTCTGTTGGTGTGGTGCATGGAGCTAGTGTATTATGGGGCAAGTTAACTCCACCTCCCCTAATGGATAGACTTGGGGACTTGACTGAGCTAGCCCTACTCACGAGGTTTGAGTCAAGAAACACCACAACTACTGTGATATCATCGTGGAAATGTCGGCGAACGCCACGGTCAATCTTCTTCAAGTCAGAATACCTCATCTCTCTTTTCTTTGCTGCTTCTTGTAGTGCAGCTTTTACTAGCCTCCTTGCACTTCCCTGCATCATGGACAGCACACAGAAGTTAGATTTCTTCTCATACTTTTTGTTTCCTGAATTGGAATGAAATTCTTTTATGAACCCAATAGAATAATATACCAAAAGTGATAATGGCACAAAAAGTGTTCAAACTTGGAAGCCATTTCCTAGACAAAGTACCCAATTAATATATTCCATAATCGAAGAAGATCATACAGATATTTCTTCGATGCTTTGAGAATGCATCATTAGCAAATTTAATGAGCATAGAAACAAATTTAACACTTTTGTGATAGATATTGAATTAACAAAACAAAAATGTGTTATGCAATCTAAACTACACAATATAAACTATTAGATGAGGAGCAAGCCCCAGATATTGGGGGTTGTTCCCCCATCAAATGATTCTTATTTTGCAATTCAGACTGAAAAACAGAAATCTCCTAACAAACTATGGTAGACTGAGTTTCAGGCTTTCTAGGGTATATTTGATTGCAATACTGAGAAAGCTGACAGCATGGTGCCCTTTATTTGCTGCCCATGCTGCACAGTTTTATTACTATAAATGGTTCTAATATTTTTTAAGGCACTGACAACTCGAAGTTACTGAATGACATAATCAAGTTTCAAATGGTCAGTTTGTTCATCACCAAGAGAGGCTGCTCAAATGAGCATATACCTACTTGTGCACTTCTGTGACATGGTAAGGGCAAAATCAAAATTTTTAGACCAAAACTCTCGAAAAAAATGGTAGCCCCATACTAGAAAGGAAGAAATCTTAACCAAATAAAAATCAAGAACATATTTGATTTCAAAATCTATCATCAGAGACCAAGTAGAATAAGCCCTTCCAGACTTTCTAAACTCTTGAGAATTTCAGTAGTACTTAAAAAAGAAAAAAAAGAAAAAGAAAAAGGAAAAAAAGAACTCCAGTGCAAGATAAAGAAGAACAATTAGATTTGAGACTTACACTTCGTGGATGATTTTGAACTATATCAACAGCATCCTGATTACTTAGGTGCTCCCAAAGCCCATCAGATGCAAATATGATGAACTGATCATGTGGCTCCAGCTGGTTCACTGATATTGTCGGTTCTGAGCTCAATATGGGCCTTCTGAAAGGCTCACGGAGCCGAAACTTGGCATATAAAGGCTCCCGATTGAACTCAGCTTTCTTCAAATAGACATCACCTATAGATCTAGACACCTGCATGGTTAAAATTGAGAACCTGAGCAATCAAACCAAAAAAGGAGGCAAACAAACTATGCTAAAAAATGCTAAATAATATCATAAGCTCCTTCAGAAATAGAATTTGTTCATTAGCACTGCACCTCATCCTATCAGGTAATTTAATTGCATAAACTGGTAAAGCTTTCTAATAAATATTCTTATCTCTACCAGTCCAACCCTTTTCCTTAGGGGAAGAGAAAAATGAAAAGAGAAAAGGGTGGGTGGGACGTGTTCATAAAAGGCTACATATTCTAATCAAGCTAGTGTTCAACAGAAGTATAATGGTTCTGCCATAGCACGATTGATGAGTGGCAAGGAGAATTCTCCGAGGCAGGAATGGATCTCCTCTGCATACGGATGCTAAAAGGAAAAAGCTGAGAGACCATTTGCAAAAACCATAAAACTTCAACCTCTTATAGCATGTTTAGTTTAAGGAGAGAGGAGGAGAAGGGAAAAAAAAA